TAAGTTAGTCTACAAGGATCGTTTTGCTAAACTTCGTAACTTTGTGTTGAAGCTCAAGGTTTGGTAGTACGTATATATGTGAAAGTACATTTTCTGGTTTGAAGCATATTAAATCTAAAACACGTAATCGCATGGAAAACGATTCTCTGGAAGCGAATCACTACGACTAGCATAGATGTGCAAAAGTTAGTAGAGGATAAACCCTTGCCTCAAATATCCCATTGATTTTTTATTTTATGTTAAATTTTAAACTTAACATGCAAATTCTAAACCATAATAAAATACTTGTTAATAATATTTCTTTTGTATATTATTTTTTAAAATAAACTTTTTTGAACGAGTCGAGTTCTCTGGCCCTTCATAATAATTTCAAATTTAATACGGCCCTTAATGTCTAAACGGTTGGACCACACTGATCTAAATATCCCGCTCCAAAAAAAAATTTGACTCAGAGTGGTTTTCAAATTTTAATGGGGGGCTGTTTGAATAATTTGAGGACAGCATTTGCACATAGATTAAAAATTATGATTAAAATTTACGACGCAACGAAAAATGGTACCCAGATATGGCGAAAATTTCAGCGAGTGTTTCCTTGATGAAGGGCAGCAGCGATCATCAGTACCAGTTCAAGGCGCAGAGGAAATGATCCTGGATCGGCTTTAAACTGGACTACCACAAGCATGACTGGAGCAGTTTGAATGGTTGTGGTACTGCAACGGGGAAGGCAACAGAAAACCACCCCATTAGAATTTCCTAGAATAGTTATCATGATAATACACTACGATAACAAAAATATTACTGATCATGGTGATCGGATCCCAAGACCCGGTAGGGGAAGATTCACATAACCAAATAGTAGGGCCTCCCAGATCATCGGCCAGCGAAATCCCTACGGCCTAAAAAAGGAAGCAAGTCCTCAACACATTGTAAAAGAGATGAAAAGATTAAAAATTGATATATTGGGAATTAGTGAAACACACTGGCAAAACTCTGGACAATGCGATATACTTGGACATAAAGTTTATTATGCTGGAAACAACACAACATATCACAGAAACGGCACCGCAATAATAGTTGTCCCACATATTAATTCGGCAGTAACATCTTTCGCTCCCCATTCAGATAGAATAATGCTTTTACAAATCCGAGCAACACCGGTGGATATTAACATATTACAGCTATTTGCGCCAACGGCAGATAAAGATGAGGCAACCAGCAAAGTCTACGAACAACTGGGAAGCCTGATAACATGACAAAAAAACATGAAGTAACAACAGTGATGGGAGATTTCAATGCAAAGGTTGGCAGAGGCAAGGTGAATGAGATCGTGGGAAACTTCGGCCTAGGGGAGAGAAACGATAGAGGTGATAGACTTATATGCTTCTGCCAGGAATATAACCTGCTGTTAAGTAATACACTCTTCAAGCTCCCCAAACGTCGACTTTATACATGGAAATCCCCCGCTGACTCACCTGACAACATCATAAGGAATCAGATAGATTATATAGCAGTACCAACAAGATATAAAAACATGATAAAATCATCAAAAATGTACCCTGGTGCCGATGTTCCTAAGGACCACAATCTGTTGGTATGCAGAATGGTCATGAGAGTTAAACAGCTCGAGAAAAGATCTGATTTAAACACAATTGATATTAAGAAACTCACTAACCCAGAAACCGAAATAAAAGTACGAGAAGTAGGAAAGAAAATAAACGACATTAACGAGAACACGTCGGACATAATAGAGAGATGGGATAAATTCTATTAAAGCGTGACAGACAAAAGAAGAAAGAATGGATGTCTGATGAGATTATTGGATATGATGGATTAAAGAGGTAAATTCAAGAATAAAAATGCAGAAAAATACCAGAAGATCCACAAAATTATAAGAACAAAAATTCGAGAAGCCTCTTTGGTTTTACAACGAATGCAGAAAAATAGATTAATACGAACGGAAATACGACAGTTACAATATTCACAAAAAAATAAAATCGATGACAAACAAGAGGAAATTCAATAAGTCACCCAAAAGCTTAAAAGATAGCGATAGAAATCTTAACTCGGAGCCATCAACGATCTTAGAAACATGGAAATCATACATAGAAAAATTATTTGCATCTGACAGGACTGATGATCACCTATATGGACAAGCAGAAACAGGACCTTCAATCCTTAAATCGGAGATAGAAGATGCCATTGCAGCACTAAAAAACAATAAGTCAGCAGATTCGGACAATGTACCCTGCGAAATATTAAAGATCCTATGTAAATCAGACAAACAGTTCCTTGATAATCTAGTTGTACTTTTTAACAACATATAATAGCGTAAAATCCCAGAGAACTGGCTGTAGTCAATATTTATTACAATCCCGAAGAAACCAAATGCCCAGATATGTGATGGCTACCGGCTTATAAGCTTGATCAATTATGTCACTAAAGCGTTCACTAAGATCATTCATAGAATAATATATGATAAATGTGGGTAAAATATTGATAGATCAGTTTGGTTTTCGGAAAGCACTTGGAACTAGAGAAGCAGTTTTCGCTCTCCAGGTGCTTATACAGCATGTAAAGTCGTTGATAAGGACGTTTATTTGTGCTTTGTGGATTTTAGAAAAGCATTTGACAATGTCAATCATGAACAATTGATAGATATTCTGGGAAAGACAGGTATTGAACACAAGGACATCCGAATTGTGGCAAACCTATACTGGGGTCAAACAGCAAGACAAAAATTGGCAACGAACTCACGGGAAGTGTGCAGATCAAAAGAGGTGTCCGTCAGGGGTGTATCTTATCCCCACTTCTATTCAATATTTATTCCGATGAAATATTTAACAAATGCATGGAAAATGCAAATGAGGGCATAAAAATAAATGGCGAGTTAACGAACAATATAAGATATGCCGACGACACGGTGATCCTTGCCAGTACCATAGATGAATTACAACAGGTAATGGAAAGAGTTTATTCAGTTAGTGAGGAGTACAGCCTGAGCCTCAACTTCAAGAAAACAAAGTGGATGCTGATAAGCAAAAAGCAACAACCTGCTCGACAATGACGGATAAGCAACATACTAATTGACCATGTAGAATCTTATGTGTACCTTGGCACCAACGTAAATGCAAAATGGGAACAGGCCACGGAAATTAAGGCGAGAATAGAACAATATGAAAGAGCTCCTCATAAGCAAGGATTTGTCTCTTCCCCTAAAACTACGTCTAGTTAAATGCTACGGTCCAGGATATATGAATTCTTCGTATATCCTGGACCGTACATGTCACCAACATAAAGGTAATCCATAGAATCGGAAAGGAGAAAGAAATCGTGAGCACAATTAAAGAAAGAAAGCTTCAATATCTAGGCCACATATTAAGACACGATAAGTACCGTCTACTGCAATTGATTGTCCAGGGGAAAGTAGACAGTAAGCGTGGGCCAGGCAGGAGAAGACACTCGTGGCTCCAAAACCTGCGGAAGTGGTTCGGGATCACATCGGTCGAACTATTCAGAAGCGCCGCAAACAAGATCAGAATTGCCATGTTAATAGCCAACATTCGCAACGGACAGGGCACTTGAAGAAGAAGAAGGTAGAGAAACGTACCAGGGGACTGTGTTTAAAGGTGTTTGAGGTTCATTTATGTAAATATTTGATTATTAAATTACTAAATATGCTGTGACGTGCCAAGAACACCTAATAATATATCGTTATTTATACAAAAAACGGTAAAACAGAGATCAAACTCATGATATATAAAGATGAATATGTCTTACCTATGCAGGATTTGACAAAAAGACCTAATGGCTAAGAGAACCAGTTACTATGTATATTTTTCTTAAAAGTCAAGAGAAAGAGCTCCAAGTAATCTTGAGTGTCGGTAGATCAGAAGTCTAAGTTGCCAATAAATGAATCAAGACGACATGGAAGTAAATAATTTCTCGAGATATTGTATGATGAACGGTAGAGTGAAACCTATGAAGCTGAGGACGACTGCCGATCAAATAGACAAGAAAAAAGAATAATGACAATTAGTTACAAGCGCCAAGAATAGAGAAGATATGAAAAAGGGAGAATTATTTCCAATAATATACTCAAATGGTTGGGTAAATACAACTATTTTTGGTTAGAGAATGAAGATTTAAGAGGAAAGAATTATTTGTTGTATACTATGACTAACAAATTGTTAAACATCATGTAAATGTGTAAAGTTATCGTTGAATAAATGCCTGTTTTTCCGTACATTTGTTAGGCGTATCTCTTTTTGTTCAAATGATCTTTTGTGTTCTAGTAAGCGTTTCTACAAAGTTTTCCTCTTTTTCGTCAAAAACTTTTAACTTCACAACTTTGTTGGTGAATTCTAGAGTCACAAAAAGGTCATCTTCACTGCATAATAAATACGATACCACATATTTTATCGCATTTCTCAAGTTCTCATTATTCTTTAGACTTCTGCTGTTATAATTGTTTACTCACAATGAACATGAAAATTACCACAATTAAAACGAAACCTTGCATTTTTATTCCTTATAAACATTATTTATATATTATACTGCGAACTATAAGAATCGAATTCCAAGTTTACGAGGTTATACTATGTAAAATACGAAGATAGAAAATACTTCACGATCAAGTATTTGAATGACTCACTCAAAGTGAAATATTGATATTCCATACCTTCTAGGCCTATACCAAAGATATCCTAGCATTTTAATATTTGCGTAAAATGTATTTTACAAATATGTATCTACCTCAAACAAAAGATACTGTACATTATCAAAGAAATTGTTTGAAAAACATGATACCTAAGAGAAAAGTTTATAACAATATAAGGGATTGGAATATATTGTGAATGTATATAATATATTATTATATATTTATATTTATATTTACATATCTTATGGGCGTAGCTAAAAGCAGCATGTCAAAAAAATCGAAAGCAAACGGCAAATCTTAGGTTAGACCGTGAAAAAAGAATACACAAGTTTCAAAAACTTACCTCACAGAACCTTTCTTTGATTTCTTCTCGTTCTTCTTGCGTTATTCCGTTTGAAGCCATAGCATATAAATGAGTTTAAAAACAAAAAAATGCGTAGAATCACAAAAATTTAATTATTGTTCTTTTACACTTTGCGTAAAAGGCACCATCAACTCAAGCCGCCGCTTCTCTCAGAACCGTCACAAAACTATGTCGGCAATACACAACGTTGCCAGTACTGACAATAGGAACGGCTTCGAGTATATATTTGACAACTCCCATCCCGTCCCACCACGTTGATAAATGCATAGTTGCCGAGTTTCCAAACTGCATCTGAAAACACTTTATTTATTGATTGAATTTTATTCTGTTTTTATTTACAAATACTGGATTTTCAAGTTAAATTTGATTAAAAATTTTCATCATGTTATTGGTGGGTCCTAAAAATACTACACAGTGCTTTTCAGATAAAACTATTCACCTTAAATAAGTTTTGAACTTCTAATTTTTAGGAAAAACGCAAAAACACGGGAATTAATATTTGAAGGGGGAGATATTATATGAGGACCTTATGTAGAAGTAAAGGGGTATATATGACAAAAAGTAAATTTTTAGTAAACGCCGTTCAAAGTTGAGCCTTCATTGTAATTGCCATGATTATTTAATGCTAATTGTTCTTCTCCAGTTTGATAACTGTAGGCATTATTATTATTATTATTTGTAACAAAAACTCATAATTTGACTGACTTTACTGATTTTGAAGCTATTTTTAGGTTGTTAAGTAGCACTTATACCCCTTTACTTCTAAGAAATGCAATATAAAAGTAAAAATGTAAATAGATCATAAAGATTTTATACAAATTTATTCTTCATCATAACACTAATACATAGTTGACATGATTCGTAAATATTAGTGTCATAATGTTGATCCAAATCGTCATTTCGACTTCTGCTTCTTCTGAGTTTGCTAGTTCTCCAGCTTGTTGACCATCATGTCACAGGTTTGTGAAGAACTCATGGTAAATTGTAGGTACATAGTTGAGTAACTGTTGAAGATTTGAATATATAACTTGCTTAATGAGAGGCCTTATGTCAATCGGTACTGGCAAGAGATCTGGCAGGACAGAATTTTTACCAGCTTGAGTGGGTCTCATAGATAGCTCACTAAACTCTTTCTTCTATGCTACCTCCAGCTGTTTTCTTGTAAAACTGGGTGAAAAGTTTGTTCTGCTGCCAATGTAACCATTGCATACTCTGTATTCCGTTTATACTCTTCTTGAAGTATAGCGCAAGTATTTGGAAGTCTAAAAAATCGTCATTTTTTTATCTGTACTGTAAAGAACGTTCTACTTGTAGAAAGTGACCAGTTCCATCTAATTTTGATGTACATACAGGTCCTTTGTGGATCTTTTCTTTTTTAACTCTATCAAACCAAAGTTTTGGTTACACTTATTATAAGAATAGCCACTTATAAACAAGCGATGATCTACTGTTTGAATATTATTATTTCTTACAATGTAGAGCCAAAATGTGACTGTCAGATGACTCTTGTTTTGGCCTCCACAATTGTCACTAAATTCAAAACCGATGCAGCACCAAGTGGTGTCTACATTGTTAACTCCTCTAGTCTTGATTAGTTCGGAGTTAGGGATTATTGAGCTGGATCCTCTTGAGTTAAAGAGGTAGGGCACGTCTCACTTTTAACATTTTGACGCTGGGCCTAAACTAAGGGACGGGATATCACCGTTTGCGATATAGCGGCTGTTTCACTCAGGGTACTGAACACGACGTCACATATTTTAAACGTCTTGTGCTCAATATGTTGAAAATGGGATTCAGAAAGTCGAAGTTGCAGCCAGTATCGGATGAGTAGCCCTGGAATTCAGCAGGTCCTACTCCATTAAAGAAAGCTAGATTTTTAGCTTTTGGGCGGCGTATGCCGAGGGGCGGTAACTTAATAGGTTTTGGCTTACCCTATTATTTGCGTCAATGTTTAAACTCGACACGTAGAGTCCAGGATTTGTATTTGAAGGCCTTTCGTACTGCATGAGCTAACACACCTACACAGAGAATTTCTTCATAGAGGTTGTGCAGATGGTCATCGACGTTTTCGCCTGGAAATGCGAGGGTGCCATAGTAGCACAGATGGGAGGAGGTTTCTATATATTTTAGGAGACAAAATGATCATCTGTCATTCAGGCGTCACCTGGCATCCACGTGACGCCTGACCTTCGTGTCACATAAGGAAATGGGTCGTTTCAGTCGAGGATGATCCCAATTTTGCTAGTATCATTTAGCTCATGACACTCATCTTTTGCTGTTCTTATGACTTCCGCCTTACGTAAGTGTAAGTCTTTTTCTCTTTGAGTTAAAGCTTTTTCTTCTGCCAAACCGTGATTTATTTTTATCTGAAATTGGTCACAGTCGTCTGTACTTGGCCTTTTGACACTAAGGTTGAACTAAGTATTAAAAATATTCCTGTAAAAGCTTTCCTTTACAGGTTCTTCCTTTTTTCCTCCTTACAGAAATCACAATAAAGTTTGTACATTATTTTCAAATTGACACTCCTGAGGAAGATACCTCCTATTCGAAGTCTTATTTCTAGTGTAGTGGCTTGTGTTCCTAGGGAATTTATTAATATGCTTTTTTATGATTTTAATCGCCCTTTCAGAAATTTTGTTCGGGGTGATTTCTTTCGTCTTTTATCTATGCATGCCACGCCTGAAGGGACTTTTTGTAACATACGTTCAGTTTTTAGTTTACATGCATCCATGTCCTTTTAATTTAAATACAATTAAATTCAATTTAAATACAATAAAAACAAGAAACTAGATCCAGACATAGAACTAAAACGTAGAATAGCAATGACCAAAATTACTTGTATAAAAATGAAGTCATTTCTTTGCAATAACCATCTCAGTTTAGAACTAAGAAAAAGAATGGTTAAGTGTTATGTTTGGTCTGTACTTTTGTATAGTGCAGAAGTGTGAACGCTAAAAGTATCGATCATGAACAAAATTGAAACATTGAAAATGTGCGTTCATAGACGAATGCTCAAGATACCTTGGACAGCAAGAAAAACTAATGAAGAAGTACTAAGGAGCGTCAACAAAGACAGAGAATTGCTAAAGACATCGAAAAAGAAAACATCGAAAAATGTCTTATCTGGGACATATAGTAAGGAAAAGTCGATATAATATATTACAACTGATCCTTAAAAGCATGATAGAGGGCCGTAGAGGTGTAGGAAGAAAACAAGTTTCTTGGTTGAAAAACATTCGTGAATGGACTCAGATACCAAATGCAGGACAATTATTCCATATTGCAGAAGATCGAGAAGCCTTCGCAATGGTGATCGCCAACGTCGGATAGTTCTGATATGACACGCGAAGAAGAAGAAGAAAAACAAGAAAATTAGAATATCTCGGACCTATTACACGTGGAGAGAAATACACCTTGCTCCAACTGATTATGCAGGGAAAGATCAAAGGAAAGGGAAGCATAGGGAGGCGTAGAATGTCATGGCTGCGCAACCTGAGAAAGTGGTACAGATGTACATCAAATGAACTTTTCAGAGCAGCCGTCTGAAAAGTCCGAATAGCTATGATGATTGCCGACCTCCGCCGCGGAGATGGCACTTGAAGAAGAAGAAGATGTCTTTTCAAGCTTAAAAAAACAAACTCTTCTTAAAAATACTTTAGTTTAATAACAACAAATTAATATTGCTTTAGAAAAGTTATAATATTACTATCCATCCAAAATAATAACAAACTCAACTAACATTCTGACACAGTGGAACAGGGGTACAAGTGCACTTGTACCTCTTCGATGGACGAATAATAACAGAAATCAGGAGAGGAGTTGGGCAGGGATGTATTATGTCCCCATTACTATTTAATGTATATAAGTGAAGCCATTTTTAAAGAAGCGTTACTATCTCAAAGTGAAGGAATTATAATCAACGGAAGATCTATTAACAACATAAGATATGCAGATGACACCATGATTATGGCAAGCTCTGTCGAACAACTCCAATTACTCCTAAACAAAACAAACAGTTTCTGCGAAAAATATGGACTAAAATGAATATAAAAAAGACCAAATACATGATAATAACAAAGAAAACAAATATACCAACAAACATACATTTGGGAAATGTACCGATAGAAAGGTTTGATAAATACAAATATTTAGGAACCTGGATTTTAGTCAATAATGATCAAACAACCGAAATAAGAGCCAGAAAGAAATAGCAAGAAATGTGTTTGTAAAATGAAAACAATTCGCTGCAACATAGACCTTAGATTGGAACTTAGAGTAAGAGCACTGATATGCTACGTGTTTTCGATACTGCAATATGGACTTGAAAGCTGGACATTGAAGCAAGAACACATAAATAAGTTACAGTCCTTTGAAATGTGGTGTTACAGAAAGATGCTTAGAATAGCATATATACAGAAAAAAACTAACACGGAAGTATTGCGAGAAATGGGCAAAGAATGCGAAATAATAGACACAATAAAAATAAGAAAGTTTACAATATCTGGGACACGTAATGAGGGGACAGCGATATGAACTGCTAAGGCTGATAATACAGGGAAAGATAAGAGGAGGAAGGAGTATAGGAAGAAGGTGACTCATGGTTGAAGAATTTATGAGACTGGTTTAAATGCAGTTCTATAGGACTCTTCAGAGCAGCAGTAGATAGAGTAAAGATAGTGATGATGATATCCAATTTTCACCGTTAGTGTCTTTACAAATTTTTAATCGTATTTAATAATTTGTAGTATTTCCTCGTTTCATTTTTATAGAATAAACTTTGTATCTTACTGAGAGTGTTATGTTCGTATTCCCTCTTCTTACGTCGATGGATACGGTTTTCGTCTCTTCTAAGACGTCTATACTCTTCTTTTTTCTCCGTGTACAACCTGCTTCAATGGTTTTTTGATATGCTGAGTTCTTTCTATTTGTGTATTTCAACGGATTTTTGTAACACAATATCTCGTATATTTGCCCATAGTTGGTATAATATTTTCTCCTTCTTCTAAGTTTTTTGTCCTTATTTGATCTTCTATTTGCTGTCTGTATGGATCTTTTAGTAGTTATGGACCTGGTGTTTTATTTTAACCCTTGTATTGGTTTATTTCACTTTACCTTGTCTTTGTCAAGACAAGGTAACACGAAGAGAGCGTACTTTGTGATTTTTAAGGGTTTTACACCCCATATTTTCGGCAAAAAG